CCATGCTGATTGCCCCTGAGCATCATTTCTGATGCCGGCCCCTCACAAATGTGCTCCTTGATGATCTTCTCAAAGAGTTTCCCCAGGATTGAGGTAAGACTGACGGGCCTATAGTTACCCGGGTCCTCCCTCTTCCCCTTCTTGAAGATGGGGACCACATTTGCTACCTTCCAATCACCTGGCACCTGGCCCAAGCACCACGATCGCTCATAGAGCTGTGCCAGGGGCACAGTAGAAGTAGATGACTACTTCTTTTTCCACCTGGAAGAAGTTGGGGACTACTATCTTAAGGCTTCACTGAGATGAATCAAGCTAAAGCACCCAACTCCACCCCACTTCCAGCTGAAATAACCTTCAAGGCCTGAATTCCAGCAAGCCACTCAGGATCTAGGGCTCTTCTCCACATCCCTTTCTTACTGAGATAATCCTAGGACTTCCAGCACAGACCACTTTCTTGTGGTCTCTACCACAGCCAAATGCAGTACCACAATCTACTAGGGGATGAGAGAGACTAGAACAAGAAAGGGGGGAAAAAAAGAAAGGTCCATGTCAAGTAGATGAACATGCATTGATACTCGAGCAGTACAGTTCACCAGGTCGCATCTTGGGACAGGCCAGATAGACCAGCTCACCATCATGAAGCCCAGCTGTTAGAAGCCTGCCTCCTCCCCTCCCAACAAGACAAACATAACATCTGAAATTTGCCTTGTGGCTTGGGTGTGGGGGTTTTTGAGCTTTTAGGGTTCATAGTTCTGTGCAGCCAGGCTAGCAGGAAATTTACTTTTAAAAGGAGACGATTTGCATGTTATCACATGGCCCCAGCAACAAGACTTGAACAAACACCTTATGTCTGCTACAACTCAAGAACATTAACAAATTGACAAAGTGCATTTGTACACATTCCAGCTACTAGCTCTCTCCCCAGACAATCCTGGTAGCATCCTTATGAACCAAATGGGCCAAGATCTCAGTTTTAGCCAACACTCCCAGCTGCCAAAGTCACACGTGTTTTTGTGGGGCAGGACTGAACACAGAAATCAGCTAAAATAGATTCAGTTTGCCCATCCCTGAAACAGATAAGTTAAAGGAGAGAGAGAGAGAATATTATTTATATGGTGGTAGTAGTAGAGGAGAGGGACAAATGTTTCTACCTTGAATTCATTTCTAATAGGAGACAGAGATCAGAGCTCCCAGTCCAGTTGGAAAAAACTATTACCCCTTATCTGAACCCTCCTGTCTTCCAGACTGCCTACACTCCATCTCCAGCTCTGTAGGTGGCAGCAGCTGGTGGAGAAGAGTTTGAACCAGCTCCTGCCTGCCCCTTGTTTGCCACAGGAAGAGAGAAATGACTTACATTTCCTAGGCCCAAATCTCACACCTGAAGAACACCCCAACCTAAAGAATAAAGGAATCTCACCTGATTCTAAAGAAAGATGCAAGTCAGTAGCAACTTTGTGCCAAAAGTGGCCACATTAGGGCTATGGCTCTGCCAGAAAAACAGGAACAGTATCAAGAGAGCTCCTTTAAGAGGCCACCATTGCATTGAAGCTGGCAGGAGCCACACTTCAGTGACCACCTGGCCTTTAAATGCATCAGCAGTCTGCTTTCCTCCAAGTGTGTCAGATTGCTTTGCAAATAGCAAGCCTTCCCAGAAGACCACTGTGGGCATCCATGTGATTCACAGAGACCTATATCAAAGCAGAAGAACAGTACAAAAAAGGAGAGATCAGGTAGGACTGGTTTTTATTAGGAATATAGACTACTTACCCATGTTGTATATGCAAGGAGGCAGACAAATGTACATAGGTTGCAGGTCCTTCATTGGGCCACATGTACCATACAAAGTTGAGACACAAGAACCCCCAGGTAAGTTTATTAAATGACAAAGGTGCAGGTTACAGACCCACATGTGCATAGTGAGCAAGACTTTCAATGCCTTTAGTTTCAGTGCTGGACAGACCTTTGAGATGGCATGAGGAACACAAGGCTGGCTGGACCTTCCTGCACCAAGGAATGGAACCCCGCCACGGATCTGACCTTCAGACAGGGGAAGAATTGATCTACTCAAACCCAGAGATGTGATCAACATACCTGGGAGAGCTTTAATCTCTTGAGCTCAAGTACCAATGACAGCACAATCGATTTTAAAAAAAGCTAGCCCAGATATGGCTACACAGACTAGAAGTCATACCTCTAGGCTACAGCATGGACAAAGTAAACCTTGATATAGGGAGTCACAGGAAAGTTGCCTCTGGTTTGAGGCCACAACTTGAGCGTTGAGAAGGGAGAAACCTGAAGTCAGATCCTTTTACACTACTTCTTCCAGCTTCCTTGGTGTTTTTTCAAGAACCCTCTCCAAGCTGCCTGCTGGGAAAAAGAGGTGGCATTTGCTTATTAGGTTGCTTCTGGAGCTGCTTCTACCACCTTCTTTCACCACCTGGCAACTCATAGTTGATGGGACTCCTTGCCGTTATGGAGAGCTTCTCAACAGAAGAAACCAGGTGAAATGGAATGGCTTGTGCTGTTCTGTTCCCAGCTAGGAGATGTCCATGTTGTCTCCTATTAATATCCATCCATCCATCTTTCTCCTGCACTGTCAGGGAAACTCTCATAGCAGCTCCTGGCCCAGCAGTTTGATGAGCTCTCCCTTCCTCCTTCCCACACACTTATTTTCAATGATGTCTGGAAACACTAATTCATCCTCCTGACATTAACACACCATTTAGCATTCACTCCATTTTGGAGGAATGAGGGAATGGATAAGAACCAAGTTGCAGTGAATTTCCTGACTAGTAGTATGCTGTTCAGCCTAGAGAAACACACAGGGAAAGAGGAACTCAGACAGGGCTCTCTCCTTCTGTAGAGACACTTTCTGACCTTACAAATAGGGCTTCCATGGCTAAACAGGTCTTCACTAACATCCCAGGAGACTAGCTTGATGTTCCTAGGAGGTTCATTTATTCACCCTTATCAGGCAACTGATGTCTACAGTTTTCTTTAGGTGGATTACACTGTTACACAGAGATGTCAGCAAGACGCGGTTGGGACCCAGGGCCCTTCAGACCTGGGTTTGACCTTTGGGCTTAGCTCAAGCTGTGTGCTTAGCTTGAATTGTGGTTGAGACTTGCACCCAGTGAAAAGGAGCAGATGGAGAAATACTGCCCCCCGACTTCAAAGCGAAAAAAAAATTGGGAAGTTGGCTAACTAAATTGAATAGTCTGGGCAAAAGAGAACCAGTTAGAGCGAAGCCTACCACCACTTAAGAATGAGAAGATTACCTCAGAAGAGAAAATTCCAGTTAAAAGGTAACCATGTATAGGAAACAGAAGCAAGATTATTAATACGCATTAGAAGCAAAGCTTAAGCTACTTATGTATTAATAAGTGCAAGCTATATGGTATACAATAGGCCTGTGTGAAGCGGCTAGTATTTGCTTCAGATTTGGCTTATTCAGGGGGACAGCAATTCGAATCACTGTCCCAGACTGATTTGGCCGAATCCGATTCAGAAGATTTGGCTGCTGCTGAATCTCCGAATCACCCAGGCCCATCCCCCGCCCGCTCTCCCAGCCCCACCTGGCCCAGCTCCCGGCACTTCAGAAAAAAGCCCCAGCTCACCAGGTGTTGCCAGGCGGGGGGCAATCCCCACTGCATGGGGGCTCTGCCACAGGCCCCCAGAAGCCCCAAGGCCACTACAGGAGCTGGTGAGTTTGGGGGTTTCCCCTGCCTCCCCCCATTTTTTTTTTCCTTGAAGGGCTGGAACTGGGGTGGACAGGGCAGCTGGGAGAGCCCCCCACACAGCATCAGGCAGTGGGGAGCAGCAGGGATCACCCCCCCACACCCCCAGCAGCACCCGGTGAATAGGGGCTTTTTTAAAGCACCAGGAGCTGGGGCCAGGCAGGGCAGCCATTGTGGGGTGGGGGAGTGGGCAGGGGATGGGGCCTGGAAGGGGTCCCCCCCATGGTCTCCGCCCCTGCTCCCTACTTACTAGCTCCAAGTCTGTGTCCAACTCCCTGCTGCAGCCACCGGGGACTACCCAAATCAAAGCTGTCTGAAGAGCTTCTACTTTTCCAAAGATCCAGAGAGCTTTGAAACCAAATTCAGAGCTTTTTATTGGTCCCCTGATTCAATTCAGATTTGGAGATTCGGCCACTGAATTGGGCCAAATCTCCTCCAAATAGAGCCACAACCTGAAGCTTTGCACAGCCCTAGTATACAAGGAGAGGCAAGAGAGAGCGTACCCCTTGGAACCTAGTCCTGAAAGATATGGTCTGAGATCCAAGATTAGCTCAGATGAAGGAATCGGGAACCTTGGACAAAACCTCATGGACAGGCCATCCAGTGACATCACGTTCATTAAATCTGGGGGTGGTGAGCATTTGCTTTGACTAGCTACAATTCTGAATTTTAAACTGCTGAAAATGTTTCAGTTTATCCGATAGGGTTCAATAAGCTTGCTTTTAGTTTAGGATAACCATGTCTTAGTCTCCTTGCCTGGTACAAGACCCATTATAGCATTACTGGATGCAACAAGAGACCAGAAAAAGAGATGGCCTTTAAAGATAGCGACCTGTTTTTCTTAAGAAGAGGAGCTAGAGCTGAGCCAATTCATTTTGGAGTAACTGCTGATTGCACAGATCCCTCTGCTCTTAGTTCAAGGGAGCTGCAGAACCTGTATGATGCTCCCTTGGTACCTCAGTTAAGGTGCAGGTGCAAGGCTACACGAAAACTTAGCTAATTTTTCCTAGCACAAAACAGGAAGCAGTGCACTTCATGCAAGGATGTAGAAGAGACAGCAAAAGGTTGCTTATTGCTGGGGGTGATCTACTTTGGCTCTGCTATGCTGCCATGGATTCAGTAAAATTAAGGCTTGTAATTTTACTTCCCAGGGATGCTCTGCCATTTAGCTGGAGAAAAGGTTACAAGACAGCATCTACATCTTAGATTAAGACACACAAGGTTTGCAGAGGGAAGTTTGTTTTAGAGAAAGCCCCAGCTGATTCTCAGCTTTGCTTTCACTTCTAAGCAAGTGTACAGGAAAGGAGACATGGGTTGTCCCACTGATTTGATGACTCAGTCTGTGAGATTTTTCTCCCTCCATCTCCAGGAGATGAGTCCAGGCTGCTTATTCACCCTTTCTGGTTCAGTTTCACATTCTGTCTCTAAGCCTTGTACAATCTTCTTCTCCACTCCCTGGTTCAACTGAGAAAGCTTCTACTAGGATGCTCTTCTCCAGGTGAAGAAACAGAACTTGTCCCATCTCCAGTGTTTACTCCCATATCATCAATGAGAAGCCATAAAAAAGACCCCCAGGAAAAAAAAAAAAAACATGACCCAGAATGATATCAGTTTCATCTCAGCTTTGCATTATTTGACTGGATGCAGAGCGCCCACCTTTGTGTAGTCCAACTTCTGCAGCCTGATCCATACACATGCAAGCACAGTGAGGCTGCAAATAACTGGTGTGATCTGTTCATCTGGGAGACCACTCCACAGTGAAGTGACAGCAGGAGGAAGGACAAATTAGTCCATGCCTTGAGAAAGCCCCAGTCATATCTTTCTAAGCCACGTTAGAGTGTCATCCGATTACGTTTGATGTTACCAGCGCGTTACAATTGCAAAGAGGATCTGCAGTGCCATGGAGAAGCAGGGCATCTGGGCCACACTATATGCCACTGAGCGTGTGGGGGCTTTCAGCTTCAGGAGGTAGGCCACAGTATGAATAATCCGCCCCACAAGGAAGATCAGGAAGTGGATCCTGGCCACAGTAGGATTGGGGTCCAGCATGGAGTAAATGGCCCCAAGGAAGAGGAAGGGGAAGATGTTCTCCATGTCATTGCGATGAGCCCTGAAAAACAGAGGTAGGACAATTCAAGCTTATGGGACTGCCTTGGAGTCCACCCTGCCTGACTAACTCTCCCATTTCTTCTTCCCACCCCTCCGTACCAGACAGTGCATATTTCAGTCCCTACCTTTCTAAACAGGATGATTGGGTAGGACTCCCTCATTGAAACCTGCCAGCATAGGTGTCAAAGCGAATAGGTGCCTTGGCGTTAAGCAGAATGCCTCTAACTACTGGTTCAGAATAAGCAAGCGAATCGAGAAAGAATAGCCAGGATTTTTAGAGGCAGTTAGATGCCCAGCTTCAGCTGGATTTCAATGGAAGTTCAGCACCTGATTTTTGCATCTAGTGTCATTTTGGTGCTGAAAAAGTAAGGGTTAGGGGAGAGTTAAGACCCCCCCCCCCCCAAACCACACACTAATATGAAGTTCAACTGATTTTAGAGCTTGTGTTGAGACCCACTCTTTCAAGAAAGCTCTCCCTCCATCATGGAGGGTCTGTTACCAAGCACAACAGTGCTTCCCAGAGCCTGGCAAGAACAGTGTCCTTGATGAAATCTATTCTCACCATCAACAGATACCCATTATGGTAGCAAGACTGACTCCTGCTGGGTTATTTTCAAATGTCGCGTGAAGTGTTAGAGGGAAACAAACCCACCGTAAACCACACAACAGACCACAACATTTTCACTAAATTTTGTTTTCAACTCTTCAAACCCACACACTTCCTTGGGTCCAGTCCCCTCACCCCCACGTCCACCAGCTCATTCTCTCAATGTGAAAGAAAGGAGCTTATAATATGAACTATCAGTCAGTTCTCTATACAGGCAGTGCTTTCAGTTCTGCATAATTACACAAAGTTAGATTTAAGACACTGGTCAAGATTGTGACCCTTTGTACTTTTGGCACAACTGAGGTCTCATAATCACTGGGGGGGCGGGGGGAGGGCTCTGTACCACAATCCTGTAAGGTGGTGATCACCGTCAACTCTCATTGCAGTTCACGGAGAAAACAACACCTGGTTGTGTTAGGCCCCTGCATCCCCAAACAATTAAGTTCAGCACAGGCTCCCTTACTAGACTGCAGGCTAGAGTTCATGTGGGGCAATAGAAATCTCTCCCCTTCTCCCCAAAGATCCACGTGTGGGATGTGCCTGTTCACCTCTACTCTACTGTACTTGGCAGAAGAGCCTGGGATCAGCTTTCCCCACATTGTTTCCCTTTTGTGCGTCTTTGTCCCTGGGCACACAATACATTCCACTCTTCTTTCTAAAGAGTCCCAGCATGTTTGCCATGTAATGCTAATCAAATACAGCTTTTGTTTAAGCTCAGGCTGGTGGTATGTAGAGGGACAGAGCTAGAAGAGGGACAGAAATATGCAGTTTGCTGCTCCATGCAGACTCAGAATTCAAAGCAGCTTCAGTTTTATACTTCTACCTTTAAACCCTCTGAGGATGTGACACTGCACATCCTCTAGAAACACATGCCTCTTTCAGGGCTCACCACCCATTATTGACCAAACCCAATCAAATCCTCCTCACTCACGTCAGGGATGCTGGAAACCCAGAAGATTCAGGCCCATCTTCCTTTTAGAAAGTCTGTTAGTTTGTGCTGTTTGGCTTCTTTATGATCCATAGACGAGTCCATAGATAATTTGGTTTACGGAAGAACGTAGACAAGACCCAAATTCTAGTGCTAAAAACAGAGTGTCTTTCCCTAACTCCCCTCAAGAAAGAGTGAAAGTGGACATAAAACTCATCCCTTGACTCATGAGTCTGCAGGTCACTGTTAAAAATACTCTTCCTCCTATACCCCATGAATGAGGGGCATAGTATCAGAACTTGTGGTACAGGTGATATCTTTTTAGACCAACTAGATTTTTTTTTTAATTCTTTATTTGCAAGCTTCCAGGCAAAAGCACCCTTTTTCAGGCATTGGAGAAAAGATTGTAAAAAGTTCTCCTAGGTAGAAATGAACGTTCATATGTCTACCATAAGTTCTGATTCCTTTTGCTTCTAAACCAGGGGTTGTCAACTGGGGGTACACGAAGGTGGACCTAGGGGGTATGCATGGGCAGGCAGGGACAGAGCACCACCATGCACCATCCTGCACTGCTGCAGAAGCTACCTGCCCAGACACAGGGACGATCACATGCTGCTTTGCATTTGGCTGCGTGTCCCACCTCTCCCCAGTCCTGCTCCACGTTTAGCCACTGGAGGTACACTGATCCAAAAAAGGTTGAAAACTCGTGCTCTCGATCAATACAGCTACAACCTGGATAGTAGCCTACAAGATTTTTCCTAGACTGTAAAGTCTCAGGGGCACGGACCATTTTTTTTGTTGGGCGTTGTCTAGCGCCCATCTCAATGGGGTCTTGAGCCATACTGGGGCCATGTATGCAAATAAGTATCGGTTGAAAAAAAAAAATCCACATTTTGACTAGATAGGAGGTGTTCCAAGCTTAAAAGGCAAAATGTTTGGACAGTTTCCCATGAAACCTTTGATAAATGACATAGGTCTGTCAAGGGGATGGGGGGCATCTTGTAGTCCGTAAAATGGGTCCCATCAGAAAGTTTTCAACCAGTTTCTAAGATAACTTGGAAGTTAGAAAAAGACTTAACTGTAATGGTTTCTTTCAAACTTGGCTCAATTGTGCCTGGCTTCTCCCCCAGCCTGGACACTCACTGCAGGAAAACGCAATCCTGATCCGCAGGGCTGTGATGTGGAAGCCTCCAGCACTCGGCAGCTGGTTCCAATCAACGTACCCCATTAGCAAGTTCAGTACATGATCTGTTTAAGTTTCCACAGCAACCAGTCATTTCCCGTCTCCCTCCATGTGCCAGACCTGTAAACTAAGTAGTATATAAACAGAGCAACCACAGCCCGTGGCCAAACACTTCACCTAAGCCATTTCCTGCAGAAAAGGCAGTCCCCTGAGCCTGTTTGTTTTTAAAATCGCAATTTGATCATCTAAAAGTCATGTCTTCTCCCCCCCACCCACCTACGTGACTCAGTATTAAAATGCTCGCTTCCTATGTCCCTTATCCGCCGCATCATTTCCATGGTGCCTGCCCAGTTGGCTCAGCCCAGAGACTAAATTCCTCCCCGACGTAAATCCAGAGCAACCTGCTTCGCACGCCAGCACGATCAGACCACACCACATGCTGGGAGCTGTAGCCCAGTAGCAACACTATTTAAGCATGACAGGAGAGCAGAAATCTGCTGTAGCTGCACCACATCAGGGTGTTCCTCATCCTCCCTATGAACTGACTGTAGGGGGTCTGTCCCAAAATGCTGGGTGAAGGGAGCACATACTCGCCCGCTCTGTACTTTCACTTGCAACAGGCATGAAAGTCAAACCCTCAGTTCTCTGCTCACATTCCAGAGTCAGCTTTGCCTTTTGCAGTAAAGAAGGGCACAGCCAAGACATTTCACCACTTTGTCATGAACTTTGTCATGGTTTCCGTCTGACCTAATCCTCCGATGTGTTGGAAGGCACTGAAGGAGAAAGAGGGACTGCTCGGTGCCTTCTAGCTCTCAGCCAGTCAGCAATCAGTTTCTCTTTAAAAAAAATAAAGACCCAGAGCTACGCCTGCAGAGGTTCCTCGGAGAAACTTCAGCAAAGTGAAGAGACAAAAAAAATCACCCCCAAAAACCAGAAAAATTTTAAAAGGCCAAGACTAATACACAGTTGGACACCTTCTTGTAAGGCTCTTTTCCATGACACTTTTATAGCCCTTTTTCAGAATCTGTACAAGTTGTGCTTTTCAGTCTTACCCCACATTTTCCCTCCTCGTTGTCTTGAGGAAAGTAGTCCTGCTTTACCTTCATTGGATTAGATAGAAACAAGATAAGACACTTGTTTTAAAACAGTTATTCCAAACCTTAGGATCCCTCTGGGATCTGACCACCTAATACAGGCTTGCACCAACATCTGCTTTTGTTGTCAAAAATGGGGAGTTTGAGCAAAGGAGAGTTTTCTTGCAGTAGGTTTCTTTGTAAAAACCCCAGTGGAGAGAAGGGAAGGTAACTTTATTCATGTCAACCTTATACCACCACCCACCCTTGAGCCTGCCTAGCTGCTAACTCAACATAAAAGCTACTGACCCTTATCTCCACAGCTGAGCTTGGCCAGCTATCACACTATAAAGGCTAATGAACCTTATCTACATTAGCATTTTACTGCAAGACTAGAATTAAAAGGAGCACTATCTAGCCAGGCAATGCAAACACTGCATGTTTTGCCTTTGAGGACATAGCCTAGGGTTGCAACACCGGATTATCATCAGGATGCTTTTAACCCCTGTAGAACCACATCCTCTAGCCTTCTATCTTCGCAGGTCACCTATGCAAAAGTGCAAGTCAAGTGAACTCAGGCAAGAGGTTCAATTTAGTTCACACCTATGGAGAGCAACAACAGACATTCAAGGCATGTCTCCACCATGTCCAGACAGTGCTAGGCACTGCCCAGCAAAGCACAGTATGCTAGCTCCTTGCACAATGCCCTGAAGCAGACGTGATGTAGCCTTGGGTGAGCACCAAAAATTCCATCTTACTGGCACACAGCCAGAGGTGCCCTGAAGGTGGCTACACTACATCCATTTTGAGGCACGAGGAGCAGGTGGGATAGGTTGTACTGCAGTAGTCCCTAGCTCTGTCTGGGGGAGCTGTAGAGACGCCCATCAGTAACACTCAGGCTGTTCCTTCCCAGGCCCGATTCCATCCTGGTCATCACCTCATTGACCAAGTTTCAGCGCAACCAACACTGGGGCAGACACAAGCTGTTTGTTCATGACAGATGTCAGGGGTTGGAGACAGAGTTCTGTTACAGCTGAGTGTGGGGAGCTCTGGTTAGGGTGGCCCCCTGTCCCTAATTGTGTGAGACAGTCCCAAAATGGGAACTTCAAGTTCCAGTCCTGCACAGCACGACTCCAGAACAGCACTTCTCTCAGATTTGCAGTATGCTGCAGGGATCTGGATCTGGGAAGTGGTGGGTTTGCCCTTGCAAGCTGCTTGGAGCTGCTGGGAACCGGATGCCGGAGATGTCACATGCACATGGCTGGGAAACCAGCCAGGCATTGTGAAGAACAGCTTCCTGCAGATAAGATTATGGGGGCAACAGGGTAGATTGAGGTCCCCACAGGGAGGGAGAGTGTGGGGCAAGGGCTGGGGGAGCTGCCCAGCCAGAACAGGGAGCAAGATGGAATTATGGGCAGCTCCTCACCACTGTGGGCACTCAGGGGGGGGCATGGGAGAAGACATGTACCCCCCCAAAATTTGTGCATGGGGGGCTGGATGTGGGCTGCCCGCTGAGGGCTCAGGGCTCCCACCTTGCTGCCCTCCCCCCAGGAGCCTCATGCCACTGTGGCAAGGCACGCCCTGCCTGCCCAGCAGCAGTGGGGCCAGTGGCATGGAGTTGTGCCCCCCCACTGCTGCTGGGTAGGCAGGGGGTACACAGTGGGGAGCCCACATCTGCCCCTGCTCTGCTGCAGCCATGTCCCTGCTGGGAGGGAGGGGAGGGCGGGGAAGGGGCAGCGAGGAGAGGCAGGCACTTGTCTCAACTTTCCATTTTGAAGAGGTGGTCACCCTAGCTCTGGCATTTCCATAGGAATCCAGGAGACCATGAAAACTGGTTCTTAGGATCCAAGTTATAATAGGATGCTTTGGGCTAATGACTTTTGAATTCCAAGCATGAACCTTGTGGTTTCAGGCAGCACAGGACAGACCCTATTTAACATCATGTCCTTGATAGGATTCTGCCTTCAGGCTCTAGTCAGTAGTCAGTCAATCCCTGCAGATAATTGCTGAATTAAAGAGGGGCCCTATATTTGCATTTGTTTACTAAGCAGCTGCCTGGGCTGTCTGGCTGCACAGGCAGAATTCCAGCCATGCTCTCAGCAGGGGAATTCACCAGTACAGTACTTGCCTGCGGCACCGCTCCACATCCGGATCGTCTCGGTAGTACTGCAACCCTCCATTCCTCAGGGCATCCTCTGGGTTGGCAAAAGCCTGCAAGACAAAATTCCCAGATCAGAGACATGAGGCGACATGTTCCACCAGGGAAGGAAGGAAGCAAAGACAGTGAAGTTTCTGCAACACTTTAAAGGAGGGGCAGGCAAAGTCCAGGCTGCAGGTTGGATCAGGCCCGCAGCAGGCTTCATTTCCCAGCAGCCCCTGTCCTTGTCCCTGCAGCCGGTTTCCATGGAGACCCCAGCAGCAGCAGAGCTATAACAGCACAGGGCTAGGGTTTCCATGGAGCCAGCCCCAGCCATGCCAGCAGGGCATGCAGATGGGCAGGGAGCTGCTCTGGGGCCAGGATCTTGCGGTGGTGACAGCGTGGTCCAGAGCCTGGGCAGAGTTGCAATCCACTGCCCGCATGCCCTGGGCAGAGGCTGAATTCTTAGCCCCATTACAGCAGATGAGAATTTTGCCATGGGCTTCATTGGGGTGCCAGCATTTTACTTTTTGAGACATAGAAGGGAAATGTACCTGAAAGAGGCTAAACCATGTGTGGGAGCAGGTAGCAACCTTCACACAGTGTCAGCCCGCAGAGATAAATGCACCTGGTACTCCTGCCAGCTAAGGGAAATATCTTTGGGGATTCAGCACTGCCTTTCAATGCCATGTCTTGCTGCAGCAGGTGCATTAGAAAAGTCACATTTTCACCTGTGTGGTCCAGCCTAAACCCACAGGGCACCAACAATGAAGCATTTTCAGTCTTCTGCAGGACAGGAAGGCACTGGAATGGATGCTTTTGCAGGTTCTCCCTAGCCACCCAATTATTTGGGGGCTACTACAGAAGACTTATTAATCCTTTCAATTATCTACATGCAGTACTGAAGGGAAAAGCAATCCATCCTCATATAAAAAGGGTGCTGCTACTTGGTTGAGAGGACGCCTCCATTTGGAATAGGTTGGCAATGTCTGCATCGTCTTATTGGCAGCGACTCCCAGAGGTAAAGAAACAAAGCCACTGGTGACAACTCTTCTTGTATAGATTGAGGCATCAGGACTTCCATAGCCTTTTCCTCAAAAAAGTGAGGCAGGATATTTGTTACATGTAATGGAAAAAGCATACACTGCTAGTGCTGTCCCACTATATATCCAGAGGGATTTTTGAAAGACTTTCCAGAAGAACTGTCTTCAAAACAGAGGCCATGTAAGAGAGTACAAGACAGCTCCAAGTAGCTATTATTGGAATCAAGAACATAAATTTACCATCATACAATCTGCTATGTGACCAACACACAAGTCATTTTGCCAAGGGTTAAAATGCAGCCCCATCTGCCAGGGAATAAGAGAGCCATTTAACAGCATGATCCAGTGGTACCAAAACAAGTACCAGAAGTGGCAGAGAGTATTTTGCCTACTGTAAGTTAGGCAGTATTTTAAAACAGTTAGATACAATAGTTTCCTGACAAAATGGTAAAAAGAAAAAAGAAAAACCAAATAAGATTTAAAAAAAGAAACACTCCCAAAAAACAAAACAAAAACACTTCAAAACTTTGGCCAAATTACTGAGTGAACTCAATCAGAGTACAAAGGAAGAAAGTCAGATCCAGAGATTGATGAATAACAAGTCTCAAAAAGAAAAAACAAAAAAAAAACAAAAACATTTTTAATATCAGCCTTGACCCATGTTCTAGGAATTAAAAATCACCAGGGTCCACAACAGCAACAGTTTGATCTTACAACTAGCCTGGATTTCAGCAGAGCTTTGTACAGGTCAGAAACAGTTTGAGGTTCACACTGCCATGGGGGTGGGGGGACCCCAACGCATTAACTATCTTGAGACGCAAGCTTGAGAGCACCTATTTCTGACAACACAGTGTCGAAGGCAGGCCTTGTATACAACCTGCACCACCCTTTGAGTGGTTTCCAATAATTTTTTTTTTTTTTTTTAAATTAACTGGTTTATAGCAGAGGGTTTTTTTTCCTTCCAGCATGTTGAGTCTGGATTATTTGTTCAGGAAGAAGCATGAGCTTAAGCTCAAACTGAGTTCAGTCAGTGTGCCAGGCTAAATCCCCCCCCCCCCCCCCC